AAGAGATAACTGCAAGAGAAAAATTATATTCTTTGTCTTCATATATTTTTCTATCAATTTTTATTATTCGTTTCTCGAGTAAACCAAAAATAAGGAGAACTTCTGTTAGTCGAGAGAATGCATAATTCATATTTCACTTAGAATTCACTAAAGTGCAGATCCACGAATCTGCTTTTATTTTGATTTGATTCGGAGTTACTTTTGTTATTAGAAGAAATTTTACTTTTCTCCGTTATTCATATTATAATTATGCAATATCGAAATTATCTTGACCATTTTTTATTAAGACATTTCTTAAATGTATAATCCAATTCATGACCAGTCTGTAATTCAAATCATAAATAATAAAAGTACTTGATGAATATCTAATAATTACTAATTAAGTAACAGAATGCAATTTAAAAAACTTTTCTTTTTTGAAAGAAACTTTAAGAATTAATAATTTTAAAAGATTTTGACAAAGAATCTTTTCAAATTCCAATGATAACCGATAGTTCTTGGCTCATTGTCAGAATGATAAAACAGAAAACGAAAATAAAATTAGGTAATTAAGCAATCAATAATTATTAATTTATTAAACAAAGAGCAAAGAAAGAATAAAAAAGTGAAAGAAATAAATTGTTAAAAGCATCGAAATTATTCCTGAACAACAAAGCAGAGCAATACGATTTATGTTAAATGCAACCTGCATGCGTTTTTATTATTTGGACATCCATATTAAAAGTATTCTTGAACAAAAATAAATACAAACACATTTTGATTGCACAATATATGAAAACATATAATACGTAAAAATGAATATTTTTTCGTTATCTGAATTTTTTCTGATATCATGAATCTATGTGCAGTCATCGGAGGAGACTGAGCGTAGGTTTTTGATAGCGACTGTACTCACGCTGGAAAATCCATTTCGTTTTAACTTTACGTTCAAATTGAATGTTTTGTAGTTGTGTGTCGACTTGGGAGAGACGTAGCTGCCGGGGAAGAGAAACGAAGGAGAGGTTGGTAGGTTGACGTGGTGGAAGTTGATAGAGGAGAGAAGATGGTAGTGGGGCGAGGGGAGCAGGAGGGATCGAGTCTGGTGCGGGGAGAGCGAGTGGGTGGTAGAAAGGGGTGTAGAGGTACCAAAGGAGGAAGGCAGGCGGCCGTATTCCGCTCTCCCCTTCTCAAAATCACATTCATCAGAGGCGGACGGCCGCACCGCTCCATTCCGCTCCTCTCCGCTTTACTCCACTCCACTCTGCGCAAGGGGTGGTACACAGTGCACGGTACCGAAGAAGGTGCAGCACCCGTGAGAAAGTATGAGTGAGGGGGTAAATCCATGTACCGGAGAAAAGAGGGAGCGGGAGAGCGAGAGATGGTCGATGAGGGGCTGGGGAAGATAGGGGTGTAGGGGAGAGGCTGGGAGACGCGCGGATATTGATTCCCGCGGGATATGCGCGCGTTCAACGAGACTCGGAAGTCTAAAATGTACGTATGCTGTTTTTAAGATTGTATGCATATTATGTGCCTTGTAAGTCCATCATCGTATGTATATGTGATCAAATCTTAAGAAATAGTGTAAAACATCGTGTTATTATAATAATTGTGAATTATCAGAACACACTATAATCTGATTGCAAAGATTAAGATTGGAAATACAATGTTGAGGTAATTCTGGTCAAAAGATCAAAAGATATTTTTTAAACGCGAATATAATGATGATAATGAGCTGGTAAGAACAAAGATTGATAGTGCTCTACATACTATATTAACAACTACAATCATTATAATATATAATATTATAACATAATTCACAAGTTACTAATCATAATTATGTAAAAATTAATATCAATAAATAGAAAATTTATAGAAATTCTTACAGTGGAAATATGCTGATTATTATCAGAATTTTGTAGTCTGCGAAATGACCTGATTTTAAGAATCACGACATCTAATTTAATATTTCATCAGTGTGTTATAAACCGATATTGTATTCATTATTAATAATAAGTAGTACTTAATTACGTTTTAAACACATAAAATAACAGTTGTAAGGTCAGAAAAAATTAAAATATAACTTCAATATAATCAGTCGCTAGGGAGCGTTTATGCTTATTTGACTTGTTGAATTTACGCGGACGTGAGTGTGGATGAGCATCACAGCTAGTAAAAAGGAAAGGATGAAAGTGAAAGAGCAGAGGTATAGGGTAGATTGCGAAAAAATGAGGTGAAAAATGAAGATGGTTTTAAAGTTGTAATCTTTAGATGTTGATGTGGATAACGTGACATAGGGGAAATTTTAAGAAAGCTCAAATTGGAAAGTCGAAGAGAGAAGGATCGAAAAAAAGGAAGGAGAGATATCACATCTGATCCCACGGTTGCGTGAGTCCTCTTCCTCGTTTTCCCTCCGCTTCACTTGGCTGGTTGGCTGGTTGGTTGGACAGCTCGCTCGGGGCGAAAATCCAACGCGCGTAAACCAACACACCGCGTGCCACTACAAACTCCATTCTACAGCATCAGCCGTTGCCTCTACAGCTCCACTTGCCAGTTCGGGCTAACCACCTTCCTGCCTGCTAGCCTGTCTGTCTGTCTGCTTGTTACCTACCGCAGTTACTACTACTAATACTACTACTACTACTATCTCCCGCTGTTGCTACGCTGTTGCTACGCGCATCACTACTAGCAGCGTTGTTACTACCACATCAGCAACCAACCACCACTGCTGCTACTGTCGGCATTGCTGCGGCTACAACCTACGAACACGTTTTATGAATGAAACCCACGTGCAAACCACGTGACTACTAGCCGTCACTGACCCTATGATACGATGCCAACGATCAGGTTTACTTTATGATATAATATCTCGCGGCTCCTTGTCAGTTAGCCGATAATCAATCGTGATACATACTAATTATGGAGGACTCTTGAACAAGAATCGAGTATAGTACGATCAAATCACATTGGTCTAATTATATAAAATATAAAAATAAAACGATATGTATTATATATACATACATGTTTATTTCAATAGATTTTTTTATACCTATATGTACATGGTTTAAAAAGAATAAAAAATTAAACACGTTAAACAAAATTTACTTGCGAGCAGCATTGTGTACAAGTACAAATTATATCAATTATAAAAATTAATTAAGTAATAAAATATAAAAAATTACATCAGTAGATATTCTTAATATTTGGTCTGATAGAAATAATATAAAATGAAGCGGATTTCATTATAAATTTAATTTTATAACATAATTGTAGTTCTTTAACTTAACATACCGCTAAGACCGCCGCGATTATATTCAGAAAGCTCATATTCAAGAAGTAAATCCGTAATGCTTCATATTGACTTTACATGTTATGGAACGTGAGTTCTCCCGTGATTTCTGGTGCTTTCGCGTCCATCCCAGTTTCATTATCTCCTGCTGCTAAATGGTTGGTTCGCACGCGGTAGGGGTCGAAAACAGTAGGCGTAAAATTCATGCCACTTATCTCCTCCATCTATTTAATCGTTAAAGATGGAATAAGATCTTATTTAAAAATAATCTAAACATATTTTTCAAGACAATAAGGAATATATATTTTTAAATTAATTTTGTTAAATACAATTTAATAAAAATTACTTTTTTATTAAAATACGATTTAATAAAAAAAAGTCGAGAAATGACTAATGTATTCTTTTTATACTATGTTATTTTGCGATACATGTATCATTTCAGTTATAAATTTATGGTTAATAAATTAGATTAATAAATAGACCGAATGAATGATTAGAGAAAACTAATTAACTAAAATGGAAGATGGAACTGTAGGTATGTTTCAGATAATATGTCGCATGTTACGGCGCATTTGTTCGATACACTCGAAAAAATAGTACACCTGCAAAGAATACAAAGGTGGCTTCCATGACTCTAGGGTTTTCGCGAAGCGACGCGGGCCATACGCGTTCCTGTCGGAGTCGCGCACCGAGAAGGAGGAAGTCGATCCGTTCTACGAATCTCGCGTGAGCGGATGGTCGCAAGGAAACGATCGACGAACGTCATGTACATCGAACGGTAGAAGAGAGAGAAGAGGAATAGAGCAGAGAAAGGGATGGAAGAGTGTGAGAGAGAGGGAAATGGCAGAGAGAGGGAAAGAGAGCAAGAGAGGTGGGATGAGGGAGAAGAGGGGGGGCTCAGAGAGAGAGAGAGAGAGAGAGAGAGAGAGAAGCGGACAGAGAGCAACATCGAGTTTCATAGGGGGAAGCCATCTCGCATTGTATATACCTATGACATTGTCGCGGTTGCACGCGTAACGTGCGATGTTGCGATATCATACGTGAGCTAACCCTAACCTAACATAACAACTCCTTTTATAACACATTCGTATCCGTGTACTCACGGGGACTGCACGGTACTGTAATCTTAAGATTTCGCGCCCGCGCTCACGCAGCACAGCGGAGCAGCCTGCAGCGAAGAAGAGAGTTCCTCTAGTCCCCGCCACGAGCGTAACCGCCGTGTATAGCCGCCAACGTACAGCCGCCGTTGCATGCTCGCGCGCGCGGTCGCCGGCGGTCGCCCTCTCTCGTTACAAACCGCACTATCTCGATGTCTTGCATGGCACCTGCCGACCTCAACCAGTGACGATCATAGTCGCGTTGTCCACGTGCTGCGTTGGCGGTCCATTTTCAGTCGCGCGCGATCGACAGTGATCAATAGTGAGATAGCAATCGCTGTTTCCAGTGCTTCCGATTGCAATGCAATTTCATTTCTATGTATTCATCGTCATTTTTTAAAAATAAAATTGTTAACATTTGCCACTCATAGTCGGCACAAAATAGCAAATATTCGCCGACTACGTAGCAAGACATTTAAATACCTTGATAATCGAAAACTACTTGAGATTAAATTGTGAGTTCTCGCTTAAATCAAAGTTGGCAGAAGATCCGCGTGAATCGTGAGTCATTGCGTTTGCATTACATATCGTGCGTTATACTCGTCGCGATTGGAAAGTACGAACTTTAAAGCGTGCCAAACCGGTCGAGTGTATACGACAAGACAATATTGCGACAGTATCGCGTTGCATTTGTGCATAAAACGAATTGTACAATGAGCGACGGTATAGTCGGTGCAATTGCGATCAGTTTGTTCGGTACTAGTTATTAAACTGTGTCTGTGCGTGATAGATCGCTTTTCATTTACAAGGGCTCGTTCTAGGCGGCGAGAAGAAGCGTCGGGTCAGTATGGATGCTGGTTATTCCGTTCTCAGTAATGATCTTGAAGCCTGCAGAATGTTCGATCAGTATTCCTACAAGGTGAGTTGAATAATCTTAAGTATAAAGCTAATAAAGCCCCGCATTAAGTGCGTTTATAGCCATATATCTTGCGCGTAAGAAATTCTACTATGTATATTATTTAGAATGAAACAAATTTTTCCAAATCTTATTTGTAAACGATTATTTATATTTTTTTAAACAAGGCCGTTTTCCACGATAGGATAGGATTACAAGAAAAGTATTTAAATTAATTGTTATGTATTATTACTAATGATTTCTATTTTAAAATAAGAGATTTTCTTAAATATGTAATATATTTGTTTGAAAAAGTGTCCGAGATGATACATACTATGCATGAATCTTCTTAGACATGACTCGAATAAGTCTCTCTCTCTCCAGAATTTCATCGAATATACGACTTAAAAATATTACAAAATAAACAAGTTACAGAATCGAGAAAAATATCTAACTAATAAAAAAAGATCCCTTGAACGTTTTTAATTTTCGTAATTTCTGATATCATCAAGCAATCATGTCATTTGGTTTAATCGTTTACAATTTAAACGTACTGAGTTTCGTGTTTGCACTTTTGCTTATGTTAGGCTCTAACGTTTGGAACAGCTGCTGATGGCTATCACCTGCGATGTTGCAATGATATAATGTAATATTATTTCGGCATAACACAGATCATGGTGAAAAATAATTTATACAATGCATTGTTATAATTATGCATTTGTAATTTAATGGTATCAACGGTTATAGATAACAAGCATTCAAAACAGTCAATAAAAAAATTGGACGTTTTGAAATTCAGAATCTGGATTAATTAGATACATCGCAAGATGAATTTAAATTATTAAATTATGAAATTTTAATTACGTGTAAATGTGATTTGTAAAAGAATTTTATTTCCGTCAATAATTCCAATTTGAATACAAAATCAGAGTGCTATAGAAATCAAATTGCGGACTTTATGCAACAATAAATGACAATTCTTTTTCCAAATGTGTATTGGTTGAAAAATATTTTTAAAAAATACAATACTTGTTATAATAGTATTATGATTTATTATTAGTCGCGCTTGTATTTGCACGTATTTAATTTTGCAATATTTTTTATTCAAAATATTTTTTGTTTTAATATTTTAGGACGAAGTATCGATGGTATTTTGTTATTTATAGATATTTTTAAATAAAATTTTTTTTAAATTCTTATTAACATGTACGAAAAATACAGAAGAGACTTACATGGACAAATTGCTCATGAGCGTGTACATATAAATTTCAATTATAATTATAATAGTTACGAGCACAATAATTATTAATTTTTATTTATTTTTTGATACTCGAGAATTATCCAATGGCGGTATGTCCGATCCTCATTTATCCCAACATTATGAAAGGTTCTCTTCCTTCTTTTCCTTTCCTTCCTCTCTTGTCTCTCTCTCGATTCTACTGCTCCTCACTACACCATCGCCATCGGTACTACTACTATTACCATACAACGTCCTTATTTCCCGGTTCAATCTGATTTGAAACGTTCGTCTAAATTAAATCTCTTCCATAGAATACCGTTGTGTCTGGCATCGCGCGATCAATGTTTCCGATTGTGCGTATCTATTCGTCAGATCTCCCTCTACAAAGTAATAAAATGAAATAATAAAACGGCAAATATTAATGGATGTTTTATTTACGCACAGTTGCCTAATTTAGATAATTGGATAAAATTATTTCCAACTTTTTATATCACTAATTGCAATATCAGATCCATTTCCAAAAATATTAAATAGGAGCTATTTGTCGGATTTTTATTAAAAAATATTTTTAACTTTTATTTTTTATGCATATACAAGATATGTTAAAAAAGGTTTTAGATTAAGATAGGATAGTATTTACCATTTTTTTGTTAGTAAACTCACAAAAAGATAAAAGTTATCTAATCTATAAGTTGAAAAATTAGTGTTATCAGAGATAGAAGCAGTTTTCTGTTTGCTTTTTAAGATCTGAACTCTTTTTTTTTAATACTTACATACGAATACATCCACGCGCACATATGAATTATATATAGTTCAGTACTAAAAGAATAAATAAAAAAATTTATCTTTATTAGCCGAAAACTTTAAATAAATAACTATGTTTTTATCACAAGATTTATTTAGTATCTTTAATTCCATTTAATTTTCATCTAGTATTTTGTTAATCACTGTATATATTCTTATGTTATTTAAATGCCTATATGAAATCTAAAGATTTCAATATTGAATGTAAAGTTGAAATTGTGTATCTATAATCTTTACTGTAATTTAAGAAAGATAAACATTTTGAAAATCGAAAGATGAAATCTTACTCGACGTTGATGATTAAATCGGTAGGCCATCGTGTCCATCGAGTTAGTGCAATTTCCCTCTTTCGATGCGATCCTTTTAAGAAAGATCGGACAAGCTCGTTCCGAAAATCTACTTTGAAAAGCACTCGGGGCGACCCTTTGAGAAGCAGAATTTTTCCCTGGGTAATATCGCCCGTAGGTAGGTACCTAATGCATTTCTACAGGTTTATATACTCTTCCTCCACCTTCGAGCGAGCCTTTCCTCCCCTTGCCTCAGCACCATCGCGGGAGTAACAACCCGCCACCCGCTCTCGCCCCTTTCTCCTTGTCTCCTTTTTCATTTCCCCCTCAATCCTCCGCTTCCCCTCTTTCTCCGTACGTACCCTCCTACACTCCCGTCCCTCTCCTATCCTCCCATTCGTTTATTTCTACTCTTTTCCTCCGCCCGTTTCAACTTTTCATTCGGTTCTCTCCTCCTCCGTTGAAACAAAATGAAAGGCGAGCCCGGTTGGTATCCATAAAAGAATGAATAAACGTAGATTGAAAGGGCATAAAAAAGCATGTACGCGTACATACACACAACATGAGACTGAGGCGAGCATATATAGGAGTAAACGTGTGCGCGCGCGGACAAGTCGAGAGTGGGCGTATTTGTGCATTTGTATTTATGTATTGAAGAGAACAAATTAAAATCCGCAATCGCGGTAGTACAAAGTAAATTTGTTTTAACGAACGCAGATAATTGAATTTTTCTGCGTTACTTACTTATAGTCTACGTGCAGATGATTAACGAGTACGAAATTTCATTTTCTCTTATTGATTAATTTTCGCATAATTATAAATGACTATTCCAAATTTTTAGAGTTAATAAGTTATAGAAAGGTATTATATGAATATCTCGTTACTCCTCTTCTGTCATTGTATTAAAATTTTATATTGCTATTATGCGAGTATATACATATAGTAATAATAATAAACACAAATACTTGCTATCTCGATACAAAATATTTCGGTTATATTTCTCTTTCGTTATTGAGAGTGCAAATCGTAATATTTACTGCTCTGCATTTATTTGCAATATAAAAATGCATTATACCTATTTTAAATTACATTTCGCGAAGCAAAAATGTTGTTTCAGGCAAAACAGAATTGTGCAAGCGTATGCATCATCTTTTTCACATAACAGCACTGCCTTTCTATTCACCCAGATCGTCAATTTATGATTACACACAAATTGAAAAAAATAATTTCGCCTGCGGTTAGATCCACGATTACAGTAATTTAATCTATACAGTAATTTTGTGTAATGTATAATAGTAATAAGATAATTTAAACTTTTTAAACAGTGTTATTAATTTTTGTTTTTATAATTTTATTTATCTTATTAACTTTTTTATTTGCACTATATAATAATGTAAATAACATTGTTAATAACCTTGTTATTTACATTATTAAACAGTGCACACGAAAAGTGAACATGGCTTATACAAAAATACTTTTTTAAGAGAGCGTCATGTTTAGCTAATTCCCTTGTAGAGACTATTTTTTATGTAATAAATAATGATTATTATGATTAGCAATAAATAAAAAAGTAAGTAATAATAATAATCAACATTGTCTAAGAATTCGTTCCAGTGTACATCATATTTTTTTCATTCATTAGAATATGACATATTTGCGCGTGTTACAATGAATATGATTTATGAAGAACAAAATTATTAATTGCATGTTTTAATAAGTTACACTTTAATTTATTTTTTAGAAACATGTCGTAATTATACAGTAAATGTATTATTAATGAAGGACTTTTCACATATAAAAAAATTATGAAGATTAACATGTAGAATATATCTGTTAATAAAATTTTGTTACGAAAAATTGTTCTCTCAAAAGAGGTTGTGTTGTCCACAAAGTTTTTGACAATAAGTAATTTCAATTGTGAAATTGCGTGCTTAAGTAGTTTTATTCATGTGAATCAAAGGTGGAATATTCGCGCGCGCGCGACGCGGCGCCGAGTAAATTATCAAAGGGGATTCGTTCGAACCGAGGTATGGCAAGTTCGAAAACTTTGTCGCATTAAAGTTTCACCGACTGGTTTTGGCAGGTGGAGGAGGAAATGCAAGAGAGCTTGGATCTGGGATCGCGGCCAAGGAAGCAGGAAACGCGTTCGCAATATATTCCTTCCGCTTTGTGCTACATACAGAATGCTATTCGATCGAAATTGATTTGTATACTCAGAGGGCTCCATAATTCCCATTATGATTCCGTATATCTAACATAGTTGAGACATGTGTAGGTATCAGTGAAAGAAAAATAACCAATATTCGATGATTAATAAAAGAAAAAATTGATTGTACAAGAGCTCATTTCTGAAGCCACAGGCGATATTTATTAATTCATTATAACGCGTCATTTGAAGCACATGTTCTAAAAACTAATTCACATGCGAATCAAAACACGCGGCCATTACATCAGCTACATTATTTTCAGTTGCGCGATTACGCGCGAGGCAACAAGTAATTATTATCTAGATACTTTATTATATGTATATATTCTAATAATGATATACTCTATCACAATTTACCTCTTATCAAGTCATTTAGTTTTGCCATTTATCAATAATTAAATTCCTTTCGTGAAATTCCAACCATTTATGCGTCAATTGTATTCCTCCTAACTTTAATCAAAATTTCATTTCCGAAGTAAATGTGATACATTAACGAAATAACAGTAAATGTTACATATATTTTCTCAGCTTATATTAGCACTACTGATATCATTTGATCGAGTTATTAAATGATTTTATTATCATAACATATTCCTTTCGAAAAAACTAAGTTTACTTAGTTATTTTGATTTTTTATTTGATAGTTTTAAATATGAAAGGAAACATACAATTTTTAATCAATTTATATTACGATACAATACAAATATTTATCAAAATTGCACTGTTACGAAATTTTGTAATTCAATGAAATTCAATAAAACATAAATAACTAAGAACATATTCTTTTTAGATCATTAAATTTTTTCCTGTCTCCAGGGAAATAAATATATTAAACTACAAGTTTGTCACATTCGTGTCATATTTGATTGATGAATTTGGTGAAATTTGATGGAAAAATGTAAATTTTATTTTCTCTTTGTGGCTTCTCTTATAATCTTTTTAATGAACTGAATTTGATCTTTAAAGCCCATCGAGAAAGACTGCAGTCTGTGCAGTGATTTATTATTTGTAAAAGAATATTGGAAGGCGGTCAAGCCGATCTTATTTATCTTTAAACGGTATCGAATCGATCCATTGTGGCAAACAGAAGCTTACATAGAAGCACAATATATCAATAAATGTGTTGAATAATTTAATAATACGATGCCAACTCAAGTATCGCGAATTTACAATTCCGTGATGATTGTAAAAGAAGAGAAAAATATGGTTGTTCTATTTTATAATATCCTATTAAAATATAAATTTAAACGTTACTGCCATAAATACGATGCAGCGATTCGAGAAGTTTTAACGATTTGTCATTCACATGATACGCCATGATACGCTTTGCGATGTTTTCTGTTTACTTATGTGCTTTACGAATTATTTCTTCTCGTAACGTCGCATTGTCTGTTGTAATATCTATTGGAATATCTAAAAAAATTTGAATTAATATTTGATTTTAATATCTATTGGAAACATCTAAGAAAATTTGAATTTTTAACAAATTTTTATTGCTACAGAAATTAGAGAATTTTTGAAGAAATTCGTCGGAATTCAGATTATTTTCACTTTACCAAAGTATTATATTTTTAGTATCAAAATGCTGTAGTTCCATTTTTGAGACTTGTAGACAATTCTTAAACAATTTTAGTTAGATTTTAAATATGTATTCCATCTTGATTCCAAATTTAAAATTATCTACTTTTAGTATACATTAAAACAGTTTATCAAGAAATATAACATTTGCTCTTTTATTCTATATTCTGCGAATAATAACTTTTGTATTTTGCATTTGACTCTGATCGATTTTTTATATTAACCTATAATTTGAAAATTTGTGTGAATTCAATATTAATAAGAACAATTTTATAATTTTTTGATTTAAAAGGAATATTACTTTATTTTAAAGTTTGTGCAATTTAAAAAAATATGAAGAGATTTTTATAGATTTAAAATAAATACCTTCTTAATTTGATATATGTTGTTACTAGTACACAAATTCTTTAGTAGCTACAGCTTAAATGTTGAATAAATTCTAAAAGTTTTATAGTAAATTTACAATCATATATTTCACTTGCTGTAAATTTTCAAATTTTATAAATAAATAAATAAATATATATATATATATATGTGTACCTATATATACATAATTTTACAAATAGCTATTTCAAAGCTAACTAAAAAAAAATTGAGTTATTAGATGTAACTAATTAACTGAGTAACTTATTCGCTATTTTATTAATCTAAAATTAAAGAAGTGAAAACTCCTACATAAACTTTTTGCCATTTTTTTAAAAAGTGCAATAAGAAAATGGAAATTTACATACATATTACATATATACACACATACATTTATATATGTAATACATTACCAATAATATTGATAAAAGATCGATTAATTAAGAGATACAAATAATCAATATCATTGATATTGAATTATATCATCGAGTGTTGAAATTTCGAAAAGCAATTTAATAAATAATTAATAATATTAATTAATTTTTAAATTTTGTCTAGTATTTATTTTTAATTATTTTTTAATTTTATGTGTTAAAAATACTACAAATATATAACGTTCTAATTTATTTGCTTTAATATTTAAAAATTAACACTTTTATTTTTATTTTTGACAAGTTCCATTTTTCTTGTCAGGAAAAAAGTGAAAAATTTATGCAATGTAAAATGCTTATTTAATGAAAAAATTTTTTACTTTCTTAGAATTTTTTGAATCTGATATTTGAAATAAATAATCTTAACTTTTTTCCGTGTGATCGTACGAATAAAAAAGAAGAATTGAAAAGACTAGATAATAATCAAATTTATTCTAAATTTGTATTTAAAAAAGTTCTAATTTTGCCTGTAAATTTGAACAAAATGGAAAATTAGAAAATTTTCAGGGAATTTTTTTTTAAATTAGAATAAATATTTTGTATGTGCGCAAATCCTATGATTATAATTGTACAGGTACAATTAGAGGGCAGACATCTTGTTCGGTAGAACATGATTGAATTATTTTTCTATTATCAGAGTTACGATAACTCGATAGTTAACTCGATAATTAATTTTTCAAGCGCAAGACGGTTCTATTATTGTCTGATAAGCTTGTAATTTCACGTCTCCAATTTTTGTATTGCAAATAAAATAAAATGTAGCGTAAAAAAGTATCAAGAATAAAAAGATAGAAGACCATAGAAAATTAAACAGTTTGATATTTAACATTTATTCTTGATGATTTTTCTTATTATATTTTATATCCATTGTATTTTACAAATTTTTTAAATTATTATTTTCCAAATATTGAAACGATTATTTGTTTTTAAAGTAATTAATTATTTGAAATGTTTAAGTTGCTAGTCTTTAAATTGTAGAGTCTTTAACTATATCATTTTTATTTATATTAAGAGAATGCTCTAATATGAGCATTTATAAAAGTTAAACATTTTAAAAAAGCATAAAAATACTTAGGAGTTTTATAATAAGACTATCTGAGTCTTATAATAAGGCTTTTACAAAAACTTCGTAGTTTTATTGTTTACAAAATTTATTCTAAATTATGATGCTTCTTACAAAACAAGCAATTTCATACGGAAGTTCAGACATAGCTTGAAATTTTTTTTTTCTTTAATCGTTTTTATATTTGTAAATTGTTTATTAACGTAAAAGGGAAACATTATTTTAACTATTTAAGTGTCGTAAGTCATTGCAAAAATTCAGTCAAAAAGTACTAACAATATCTAAGTAGCGTCAATTCTTTTAATTTATCATGCTAAAAAATGACAAGCGCCTTTTTTTACGTTCACAACAACAGTCGTCCGGTTGATTATATAATATTTTATATTTAGCCGAGGGGTCAACCACTATGGCAATCAGTGTACATTTCTTTAGGAATATTGCTAGTATTACGGCAGTACAATACGCTACATAGCAATACCTCGAGCAATACTTAGCAATGCGTTAGCAATTATACTTGACAATATTGTGGAACAGGTGACAGTACATGAGGTAATAGATGGCACCATTACTGACAACACGAAAACAATACAATAATAATACTATCAATAAAGTGCGAGATAAAGTGTGTTGTATTGCCATAATTAGCAATCACAATTTTTTTAGTAGTGATTGACCCCTTGTATTTATAGCATACCTACCTTAATCAATTTAATAAACGCTTTTTAAACAATAATGATTAACGTATTCATAGCATACCTACGTTAATCAGCTTAATAAACTTTTTTTTAAATAATAAACGATTTTAGAATTCATTGTCAATTAAATCTGTGCGAGTAGCGCGTTCACAATCAAATGATTGATTTGATTTTTATTTATATTGATTTTAAATTAAAGAACTATAAATTTTACTATTATTTTTGTGTTTACAAAGTTTTTATAATTTAAATGATATTAATTACTGCAAAAAGGGGCAATATTATTAAAATGAAAAATTTTTCTTTTACTGATGTATAATGATTTCAGAAAGTCTGAGACATGACGATAAACATTACATATATATATATTACTTAATTTTGGCAACATATGTAAAAAATGCAACAAATAAACATAAATGAATTTTCAACATGTATCAAACTATCAATAACATGATTTTTCGAATGCAAGCGAAAACGCATTTTCCGTTCGTATTGTATTGAAGTTACGACGAACTACGAACTAACCATTCGACCAATGCTTTTCTGGGATAACGACGGTCACAGTTTTCGGATGGTCATCAGGGGTGATCAACAAGTGGCTCATGATTTTGTCAGTGGCCACCGATGGCGTGCGGTTGACCGCGAAAACTGCCTTGCCTATATTGCAGCAAATCCTATTGTAATCCCGTCTGACTACTAACTGGCTCAAATGTCACGGATTGACTGTAAGCTTCACGCTTCTCGTGCTGCACGTTTGTTACGTTGATATAAAATTACAGAATGTAAAATATAAGTTACCACATTTTTATAAATTAATTTAAAACACAGAAAATAAAATTATATTATGCTATTAAAATATTATCATAATTAATGAGAATTTAATGTTTCTTTATGTGAAATGACAGCTTACAGATATCATAAGTTGTATTTTATACTCGATATAATGCATACAATACGTAGTTTGGCTGAACATGATTTTGCATTCTATCGTATTGTCAATTTTTATGTATTAAGAATATGTAACATTGTCTCTCGATTATTCCGGCACATTAGCAGCGTATAATCTTACTCTCTTCTCATCTGTGAAGTTCTCTAACTAAGAAACGATCAAAGTGGCGAACCGAGCCAGCAGCCGGTTGTTAGGTCTGCTTCCCAGCTGCTATCCAACCGCTAACCTCCTTCCAGTTCATTTAAAATCCTCTTTGCCTTGAATATCTGCTACGTCCTATCCTTATTTAATATCGTCCTTTCTTCTCTCGGCCAGTTCTTGTATACCGGAAATCACATTATCGAAATCGCGTTTAAACATCAATCGTTGACCGAATAAAAGATGCTATCATGCATACTTTAAAGAATAGCATGATTATTGAGATAATCACCATAAAACATAATTATTTTGTATATAGCATGTCCCAGAACTGATAGTATAAGCGAAAATGAGATAATTGTATAAAAATAAATAAATTGAAAATATAGAATGAAACATTTTTATATTTTCCGAGTTTTTTCAGAAAAATTTTGAATCGATATTCATCAGGTGTGCACTTAATATCCATTTAT